AAATGGCATGTTGCAACCTCAATCTACGGATTAAGAAACTTCTTGAAGGTTTAGGAATACAATGACATGTTTAAGATTGAATTAGATTAGAATGCTAGCACAAGTGAGTCATCTAAAGTTTATGCACATAATGTGTTGAGTATCTGTATCTAACATGAGGGCGTTCATATGAAATGCTAGAATAAAGTCTTTGATTTTGAGCTACTTGAGAACTTTGCTGAGGGCAAATTGCAACAAGATGGACCTAGTCACTCTAAAAGCAAAAGGCATAATTGGGCAAGAACCTACTTTCTTATCGCCAAATAATTGACATACCTGACACTAAACTGTAGCATCGCTTCAGAATGATGATTGATCATTTAAATATATTCCTACAAAATCCACGCTTTAAGATTGAAAGTCAAATAAAATTGGATTTCTGAAGCTAAACTTTTTTGATTTGTAGAGATTTGTTTCATTAATGAAAAAGAGAGGTTTCAATCATCTTGATGTGTCGATTAGTGTGTGAATTTGAGATTCAACTCGAAAGTTACAATAATGCAATCTCCGGATCGATTTACTCAGGTTTATCTCAGATGGCTATGCGGCAACTCATCATGAATCTAGAAGGCTAGAATTTCCTCTTATACTCAATTCTCAAACACCCTCTCACACATCTTTTCCATTCATCACTCAAATACACACACATCAACACTTCAAGATACTGAAAAACATCACTCTTTCATTAATGAAACAAGTCTCTACATATTAACTTTCAAAATTTTCTTGAGATGATATTTTCTACCTCTATGTATATATATTACTTAAGAAGTTACTACAAATGATGATTCTGATCTAATTTAATCCTACTAATATGTTCCATAGTAAGTTTAATTGTATCCCAATACGTGGCAACATGCTATTGAAATCCTCAACCTTCTAAATATTTTCTAATTCATAGCTTGAGGTGGTGACATGTCATTTGAGCTTTTCAAACTTCTAAAAACTCTATTTGCCACTAAGTTAACATTAGACTTAGTCTAATCAATGAAGTTCATATTATTTAGTCAAATCAATCAAAATCAATTATGTAGTCTTCCATCCTTGGACACTAGATTTTGATAGTAAACAAAATAGTTATGTTCGTTCAAAAACTTCTAGAACTCTCTTATTTATATCGTCAACTATAAAATAATAGCTAGACATAATCATAAGTAGATTAACTTAGTTATAACTAGCTAGACTTAGTTATTCTTAAGTTAACTATGATCAGATCCTTGGCTACTTCTAATCATACTTCACACTTACAAAAATAGATTGTGTAGTATGTGCTTTGTCATTGTCAAGATACGTCTACGAGAACAATATTAAAGTTTTTCTAGATAAAAGAACCCTAAAGTGTTAATGAGAACTTTGATTAGTTCTATTTCATACGACATATTTGTCTTTATCACAAATGTTATTTTTTAGTGATAGAAGTATCATCATTCATGATAAATGATTTTTTGACAAATGATCATTAGCAAAAGCTAATTTCTTTTTATCAATCATCAAAGTTTATTAATAAAAACCAATATATACACAACATTGAATATGAATTGTGAAAAATCTTAAATAAAAACTAATGATGAAAAAGTGAAATATTAAAAGTAGATTTATATATCAAAACATTGTGCTTTATTGGCAACGTGACAAAGTCAATCATCTTTAGAAAAATTGCAAGTAAGATTAATTTTGAAAATATCGCATAGATCAAAGTATAACATGAAAATCATTAGTTGATGTTTTGTGAATATCACTTTGTTTTGTATGCTAACAAAGTAGTCCTTATTAATACGTGACTGTGCGTATTACATTTATCATAAAATCATCTTCTAGTTTTTATTGAAAATCATTAGGTCTAATATTGATGACAAATTATCATCTTTATTAATTTCAATATATTGAAACAATAGATATTCAAATGCTTAATACTTTATGTGCACATTAAAACATTAACATTTGTTATTTATACTGAAAATTATTTGATATTTTTTATATTATATATGCATAAATTTCATCAATGAATATTATTTGATCATATAGTTTGGATTTTGATGGAAAAATTGTTATCAATAAGCGCAACTTTGATGGTTATTAACACGATTGTTGTTCATAACTGAATTTTTTTATAAAGAAGCATATGTTTTTATATATCATAATGATGATAATTTGTTGTGACATTGAAGACTAAATCAATTAGTGAAAAAAACATGTACATTTTTCACAAAAAATTTTTGAATACCATGTTACAATCTAATAATTTGTGAGCATATTTGTACTAGAAAAAAAAGATCAATTTTTTTCCGGTTTGGAGTCTAAGAAAAATTTTGATCTGTAAATTTTAGCATGAAAAACTTGTTTTTTTCAATTTTGATATTTTATAATTATACTATATATTGAAAATTATTTGAAACATTTTTTAATCTATACTTACATAACAGTTTTATTATATTTTATAAAATATAATGTTCAAGTTAAGAATTTTGTGATGACAAAATTGCAAGAAATATATTTTTTAATAATTTGAAATATATAGATTACACTAGAGGTCACTCATCACACCAAATAGTATTGCTAAGCGCTCAATTCATCACTACGGAATGGACAAAAATGATTATTTTTGATAAAAAATGTAAGCTCTAAAATTTATTCAATACAATTCTTTTAATTTTTCTTTATTTGATGCATTACATTACATGACGTTATTTGAAGTGAATGAAAAACACATTACATTGCTAGGAATTTTTGGTAGTTATTCATATAATGTCATATCTAAAAAAGTTAAATCTAAGCTGGATTTTGATTTCAAAATTATTTTCTCTCAAAATGATAAGTAATATCATAAATGTGACATTCACTTGATTATGAATTAATTGTAATAGAAATTTTTTGTTCAATGAATATATATTATCAAGTAAGGAGTAAAAAGCTCAATGTAATCATCTTGAATTTGTCAAAAACTTAGTATGAAATTTTGTTCAAAAAACTTGAGAGCTTTTGTGATCTTTAGTGTTTTTGAATTATGTTAAAAAGTTTTTATTTTATACTTTAAAGTTACATTAGGCTTTTTATAATGAAAAATAAAAATTTCACCAAATATTACTTAATGAAATATTAAATATGATGTATTTAAGTAAAAAATCTATACACAAAAAGATGTGAATTACAATCATTTCTTTTTCATTTGATTGATATGCAAGTTTTCTTTGTACTTTTATGATCAGATGAAATGAATGTTGTTCATGTTGTTAACTATGATAGTTTGTATGAAGTGAAATTTGCGAAAGCATCTATGAATTTTTTGAAAATATAAAGAGACATGATTTGTAGGTTGCTACAGATTCTTGTATGAATTAAAGCAACTAATAGAAAGAGAAATAGTATATTTCACAATTACATGAGATTGCAAATCTTCAACGTAATGTATTTAATCATTTTGTATACATGTAATATTGCATAATGAAATTTTCACTATTTCATTTTAGTCTTTGATGTGGATGAGATGTTTATTGCAAGAATTATATGATGTTTATTGATAAGCTTCAAAATTATTTCAAATTTTGAGTTAGAATGAAAGATCTTGGATGTAGCAGTAATAATTCTGAGTATAAAGATTACTATAAAGTTGAAAACTTATGATTGATACAAATCATTTTTGCTATTACGATATTTTCAATACTCAATTTGGGAAACTTAAAGGCTCCGAATTATCCATTTGTTCATTAGTTCACATTTTCATCAATTCTTCTTTCAACAAATGACATAAAGAAAGATTGTATGACCAATATAACTTACAATCATGCAATATGACTCATTTTTTTTAATGATAAGTATGAGATTTCCCATTGCTCTTGCTATAGACAAGATATATGTCAAATGTAGGTTTGACATCTTGAAAAGTTGTGAAGTAGATTATTTGATATCACAAGACTATTTTAAAGTTTGGTCTGTTGTTTGATGCAATATTATACAACACAAATCATCGATGAGCTATGAAGCTGCAAAATATGAACAAGATTTGGATGAATAAAAATTTATGATTGAATATGTTTTTACATTGTTTGTGGATGTGACCTTGATGAACCAAAACACATATTTAGTGCAAAGATTTTTTCTAAAATCTTTTTTTTCTATGTATGTCAATTTTTACCTACACATACATCAAGATGAAGAATAGTGTTCATGAACACAAATTTGCACAATGTAAAATTTTAAACAAAAAATCTGAAGTGAGAGTTCAACATTTTAGTGTTATGCTGAAGGTATTCTCTTTTTTTTTCAATTAAACAGATATAAGCAAGAATGTATTTTCCTTTTAATACCGGCTGTATTTTTCAACATTGTTTTGCATATGATATTGAAATTGAAATAAAAGACATTATCGAATTCATACCTATATTTATATCACTGTAAAAATTGGTTATTTTTTTGAATTTTTGAAAAGTTTTTGGAAAAAAGTGATATATATATATATATATTAAATTAATAAATTAAATATTGATCAGTTGATAAATTTTCACAAAATTTTTTTCTTACCACAAGTTGATATTGTCCAGTTGTAGAATCTTACACTCTACAATCGCATTAGGATTCGACTTACATTCTCCTCATAAATAAGGGAAGAGAATGCAAGTTGTAGTGGATAGGAAGAAAAAAAAAGAGGTAACTTATATGCACCGCTTCCCTCGTCTCCACCGCTGGGACGAAAAGAACGGAAGGAAATGGAAGGTGGACTCATCAACGACAGTGCCATCCAGTCATAAAGTGAGTCACTCAAATCCGTCCGTCCGTCGGTTGGTGCGGCCGGCCAGAGCGGCCAGGCCGTCGGCGTGTATCTGACGATGGCTTCATGGCGACAGAGTACGTACGTCGTACATCATGTGCGCGAGGCCGCCTACGGCCGCGAATACTCACTCGGTCGCTCGAGGTTTCCCCGAAGAAATCGCGAGCGCGGTTCTTCTCTCTCTCTCTCTCTCTCTCTCTTTCTCTCTGGCTCCCATTGATGGAGTTTTGTCGTGGCGCCTTCATGTGCGACAGCAGCAGCAGCAGCAGTGCCTTCTTGCACATTTATCCGGTTCGCGTGCTCGGCCCGTCCTTCTGCGCTCTGCCATTCTTGAGTTCTCGAGCGTCGTCATCGTGATCGTGAGTCGTGTCGGAGGGAGGGAGGGAGGGAGGGAGGAAGGGAGCTCGAGTCGCTGCGGAGCGATGGCGAGCGAGGCGGACGACAGAGCCGAGGAGCAGCGAAGAGCGAGCGAGCGGGCGAGCGAGATGAGTCGATGAGAGAGTGGCGTTGGCGAGGACGCGGTTGTGCCGCCTCGATCGGATCCGTGCGCGGGCAGCCAGCGTCGGGCGTCGAGCGAACGGATCGGTGGCAGCAGCAGCAGCTCGTGGGCGTGCTGGCGAGTCGATCGAATTGGATGCCGCAGGGGCGGTGGTCGTAGAGTAGTTGTGACGGGAAGGAAGGCGATGGCGCGAGGTCGTCGTGATGGCAGGGCGTGGGGCAGGGCAGGGCAGGCGAGGCGAGAGGAAGCAGCAGGCGCGATGATGGCGACTGATTGAGGAGGACGGGAGGAGGAGGAGGAGGAGGCACAGGAGATTAGCAGCCGGGAGGCGCAGGAGCAGGAACAGGAACAGGGCGTGGGTGGGTTGGTCTCGAACGCGCGGGCACGATGATGAACGCCAAAGGAGGGAAGAGGGTTATCGTCTCGGAGAATGGCGATAAGGTCGATACAGGTATGTCGGGAATCGATGATTCCGCTCTGGCATCGGCGATTGGCAACGGAGAGGATCTAGGCCCTTTCATTCGAGCCGCATTCGAGAGCGGGAAACCCGAGTCGTTGGTCCACCAGCTGCGGAACTTCGTCAAGAAAAAGGAAGTGGAGATTGAGGATCTGTGCAAAGCTCATTACGAGGAGTTTATCCAGGCCGTGGACGAGCTTCGCTACGTCCTGGTGGATGCCGATGAACTCAAAGGAGGATTGGCCGAAGAAAATTCCAGGCTGCAAGATGTCGGAAACACTTTCCTCGCCAAGCTGGATGCTTTGATTGAATCTCACGGAACCAAGCAAAATCTGGCCCATGCCATCGAGTCTCTAAGAATTTGCACAACCGTTCTTGATTTGTGCCTAAAAGTAAATGAAGACATTATGACGGATAGCTACTATCCGGCTCTGAAGAGCCTGGATATATTAGAAAGAGATTATCTGTCTCGAATTCCGGCGAAAGCTTTCCGCCTGTTGCTCGAGAAGGAGATTCCCATCTGTAGAAATCATATCGAGCGAAAGGTGAGTGCCGAGTTCAACGAGTGGTTAGTGCAGATTCGAAGTATTGCTCGAGAAATCGGTCAGCGGTCTATAGGTCAGGCCTCCTCCGCTCGGATAAGGGAAGAGGATCTCAGAGGTGGGCAGCGGCAGGCAGAAGAACAGAGCCGGTCAGGCTCTCGGGAGTGCGTGTACATGCTGGAAATGGAAGATCTGGAGGAGGATGACTCGCAGCTTAAATTTGATTTGACTCCAGTGTACAGGGCGTATCACATAAACACTTGTTTAGGTCTCGACGAGCAGTTCAAGGAGTATTACTACAAAAATCGACAGCTGCAGCTGATTTCCGATCTTCAAGCATCATCCGCTCAGGGATTTCTCGAGACCCATCAAACCTATTTCGCTCAAATCGCCGGGTTTTTCATTGTTGAAGATCGTGTGCTTAGGTCGGCCGGGGGACTCATCACAAACGCGCGAGTGGAGAGTCTTTGGGAGACGGCTATCAGCAAAATGAATGTTGTCATCGAAGACCAGTTTTCTCGCATGCAAACGGCCAACCATCTGTTGCTGGTGAAGGATTACGTGAGCCTGCTGGGTGTCACTCTGAGGAGGTACGGGTTCCAAGTGGGGCCCTTACTGGACGTGCTCGACACCATGCGGGATAAGTACCACGAGCTTCTTCTCAACGACTGCCGGAAGCGAGTGACGGATGACCTTGCGGCCGACAAGTACGAGCAGATGGTCATGAGGAAGGAGTACGAGTACCAGACTAACGTCCTGATGTTCAATCTTCAGACCTCAGACGTCATGCCGGCGTTTCCTTACGTCGCACCCTTTTCAGCATCCGTGCCGGATTGCTGCAGAGCTGTCAAGGACTTCATAGAGTTCTCTGTGAATTTTCTTTCCTACGGAGGGCACATGGACTTCTATGATCTCGTGAAGAAGTACATCGACAAGCTTATTATCACTGTCCTGAATGAAGCTCTTCTGAAGCTCATTCAGAACCCGATGTTGGGCGTCTCGCACGCCATGCAGATTGCTGCCAACATGACAGTACTCGAACGTGCTTGCAGCTTTTTTTCAGAGTATGCCGCAAAGCTTTGCGGTATTCCCATGAGGCTCGTGGACGGTCCGCATGGAACTTTGTCGGGGAGAGCGGTGTTGAGGCAGTCTCAGGCCGTAGCTCATGAGCAAATGTTGAAGCTTGTCAAGTCCAAAGTTGACGAGTTTATGTTGCTGACCGGTAACATCAACTGGACGCCAGACGACCCTCCTCTGAGTGGCAATGAGTATCTGAACGACGTGACTATCTATTTGGAAACTCTGGCGGAGACAGCGCAAGAAATCTTGCCTTTGGACGCGTTTGATAAAATGATTAGAGGCGTGCTGACACATATCTCGGAGAGTATCGTGGGCACTCTCTATGGTGATGACGTGAAGAAGTTTAACATAAATGCTATGATGGGCATAGATGCCGATTTAAAGGTGTTGGAGTCTTTCGCAGACGACAAGTTCCAAAGCAGTGGCCTAGACCAGCTTCCTGGTTCTTCCAACCTAAGGACGTGTTTAGCGGAGGCACGGCAGCTCGTCAACCTCTTTATAGCCAGCAACCCTGAGCTGTTTCTCAACCCTGTAATCAGGGAGAAGAATTACAGTGCTCTCGATGCCAGAAAGGTGCAGAGAGTAGCAGAAAAGTACAGAGACTTGCCGGAAAGATTCTCACTAGGGCGCCCTAGGCATCCTGGGAAGAAAAAGTCGCTGGACGCCCTGTGTAGAAGATTGAGAGATCAGTTGTAATTGCAACCGGGCAAGCTGGATAGGAGAGATTTGGGATGGCTTCAGTTAACAACCGTATAAGACCTCGCCGTTTTTAAGGCGGGGCAGGGCAGAAAAAAGGGATCAAAGTTGCTTTATATAGCTAGTACAATATACGTTTTTTGCTTGCTATGTGATGAGGCGCATGCACTGGAGTCGAACGAGATGAAAGCTGGATGCTATTGAAGGTACTTGTGATTGTCTCGTGATTTTGTGGGTTTCAAGCCAACGACATTTCTTTGTCATCGTCTGACCTGCTCGCTCCTACTAATATGACCTTCTCTCGTCGCTTTGATGTCCAGGTTCTTTCACGGGTTGTGACGGCCGAGGCTGCTCTCGAGAACGCAGAGTCAATTGTTTTAATTGTAAAATGAACTCATTCTGAAATCACCTCCTCTGCTTCCCGATTCTTTAATTTGAAGAGTTACATTTATTGGCCAGCATAGAGCCATCACCAAGCTTAAGATCTCATTTCTTTCCGTGTAATGTTGTCAAATTGTTTAAAGGTATGAAAGGGATTTATCTCGTTTACACAAATACATCAGACTGATCGACTTGTACTACGATGATTTCCCAACAAAGCATGGATGTTTTTGAATTATGTTCATATCCCGGAAGTGAATCTTTAGTGTCTTAGACATATCAGTAAAGTGGTGAGCCCTGTGAGATGAGTAGCTCTGTCCCTTGTCATTTTCTGCAGGTTTGCTCGTTGAGTGTCACTGTCATCATTTTTCTGTTATCAGTTCTTACGTGTCTTCGCAGAACTGCAAGCCTGCATTGTACTAGGTCATGATAAGGTGTCTACACTCCTCAATAGGTTCACTTCCTTAAAGTCTTAGTATTCCCTGGACAGGTTACGAAGCAAGGAGCGATTTGATCATGAACATTTTCCTTACAATCATGTTCATGTGAACGTGTCTCTTACTCACCAATTCTCATTTCTCTTCGCCACAATATCCTTTTGTGCTTCTTTCTCCTATGCGAAGAGGCAACATATTATAAACTAAGAAGCTCAAAGTTTTGTATGCATTCCGTCCATAGCTTTGACGTTACTCGATCAAACTAATACTCACACGAGCTTTGGAAGCCACGTAATGTAAAGATTGTGTTTGGATTACTAACCAAATGTCAGATTCAGGTTATTCAAAAGTCTTGCTGGAGATATCTGAAACAAGCAAGGGAAGATCATACTCTCAGATAATTAATGCAGTTCACGGCTATACAGTCATTATGGAGTCATCAGGTAGAGATGGTATTTGACAAACCCGCAAGTGAAGAGCAGAGAGCCAATTTTTGCCACTTTCATACATTAGAAGTCTTAAAGTACAGGCAATATTTTCTGATCATACTTGTCTTACACTTCTCAACTTACAAATTACGAACGAAGGTTCAATTTTACTGCTCAAAATAAAATCAAACGTATGAACTGACTTCTCGATATCAGTTTTTATTCACAGACAGACTGCCTCAGACACCTAAGAATTGTCACTGAAATGATCAGTGTGCACGAATAACGTGGCATGGAAAGATGTCACGCCCTCGCAATCAGGGTTTTAACATATACTACATGTGTTGAGATAGAAACCCAAACATTGAGAGAAGTCTAGGTTATATTGTAGCCTACTCTAGTACATCTTTAATTCATGGTAGTATCCCAACCATCGCAGGCCACTTGAACACCCTTCAATGACGCGCACCCGTGGACCTAAGGTCTTTTCAAATCCAGGGGGACAAATACGACCATTCAGTGCCAAAACTCGCAACGTTGTATCCTGGACCACCAAACACCCACGAACCATTTTTAACATCTAGAATTGGCATTAGCAATAGAACTAGAACAAGGAAACACAAAGGAACTTCTATGTACCTTGGCATGTTTCAGAATAGACTGCCAACTCAAACGGGTTAGCTTGCAGCCGATCAAATCGAGGTACACAAGTGAAGAACAGAGGCGGGGCATCATGACTGCAACTGCATTGTCATTGATGCCAGTGCAGCGATTGAGTATTAGAACATTCAACCGCCTGCAATGGAACGCGATATTTCTGCAAAGTTCAATGCTCATTGTTAGTCACTCCTACTTTCGTGAAGATGTTCTATCTTATCTAACAAACCCCCACCACGAGAGTCGAGTTTGTATTAACAGTTGAAGTCGGCTTCAGCATACACGTGACCGTGCTTTGAAACTACATTATCGACTCTACTGCATGCAACTAAAAAGGTCCCGATGAACTGAAACTGCAAGGTCCGGGTCTACTGCATGCAACTAAAAAGGTCCCGATGAACTGAAACTGCAAGGTCCGGGACTACTGCAATGAGCACTTCAATTTCGATGTGTGGCTGGCATACAAACACAGAGCAGATATATTACCAACAAACTTGCTTCGTTGGACTGTTTATATGCGCATGCCTGAGATTTCTGATGCTACGTGCTTCGAAGGTGCACTCTTATCCGTGCTTGAGTATTCGAGTACAAAAGAAAGGATGCCCACTGTGACTGAACTGAGACATCTAACTGCAGGAATATGATCGGAACGTGGAGTAGCTTTCAGCACGCAAGTTGGCTAATAAATATAAGACAGGATAGTTTACCGAGTAGAAAGAGCAGTGATATTGCGACAGCCTGCCTAAGAAAGCACTCTCAAGTCCGGGCACCCTTCGACAAGTCCAACTACACCTGCATCTGTCACTTCTTTGAACACAGTCGGCTTGTCGACTATTCCAAAGCCCTGCCAGTTGCAAAATCAACATGATTCTGAAACCTAAGAACGAAAGATGGAAGATCTTGCAGGTAAACACATGGAGTTAAGATTTGGACACGGAACTATTAATCTGCCTTTCAACGGTGAGTCTAATGGAACACTTTTATTCATCTCACCATAAGCTTTGAGGGTCCTGCTGTTGACCAACAAACATAGCAGCTCACCTGGAAACGCAGCTCTCTAAGCTTTGGACAATTCCAGCCAATCTTCAAGAGAATAGCATCTGTAGCGTAGGGAAGCGCTAAGTACTCCAAATCCTTTAGCGTCGGAAACATACCGCACAACATCGTCTCTTCAATCTGCACGGTGTGGTTGAAAAAGATCGTCAGATCATGGCGTATGACACATAAGGATTGACCTAGTTGTAGAAATCAATCAACGAAATCAACTACGCGATGGAAGAGTTTGAGTCGAGAAGTCCAGACCGAGGACCTTAAGAGGTGCCACATTAGGAAACAGACTCGTCTGAGGACACCACAAGGCAGCTGCAAATGACGTTCACCTAGAACGGAGAAACGCACTACAAAAGAAAATTCTTCATGCAAAAGTTTCAGTGATCATGGCACAACATCTATGTGAGGAACAACATACCTTGGTGGCAAGACAAAGCTCGACTTTGCAGTGTGACAGGTCCAGCAGCTTCAGGTTGGGACAAAAGCGTCGAATCACTTCCCAAGTGGTATTGTAAACAGTTTGTGCATGTAGATGCAATAACTGCGTCCCAAATTCCTCGAGCACTATCCTCATTGGTCCCGACTCCATTGAGATTGCTCGATTTGGAGAACGATACAGACGAAGAGATGTTAACTGCCTAGGCAACACGCACGGAACGGGAACAGGGCCGGGTAGCAGAAAATCAGACAGTTCTTTGCCAGGGTTTTCCAACAGGTCGAGACGAATTGAAACCAGTGAGAAATGTCGCAGAGACTGACATAGTCTAAAGATCTCAGCCACTTCGGGCCAGCCAAGTTTATAACTATGCAGGTCTAACGACGTCAGAAACTGGCATCCTTGCAAAAGAAGGCCGACAGCTTTCATTGAGAGATTGCCGCAATAATCTAAGTTCAACTTCTGTAGCTTCGGGCACCTTTGATGTATGGCACCCACGACATTATCATCGATATGTTTACGAGGTATAGAACAATTATGATATCTCGTCGCTACTGAGTCAAAGTTGTGAAGATCAAGGCTGAGTAAATGAGATGGTAACTGACTACAAACTGCTTCCAAGTCGTCAGACCCAAAGTTTGTACATGATTCAATCGACAGATCCTCTAGCTTCGGCAGCTTCGGTAACAAAGAAATGACATCACTGCCAGTCAAACGTTTCAACCTGTACATGGTTTCAAATTGCAGAATCAGCAAAGCAAACTCAAAAAAATTGAAGATGGAAGTGCGACGCAGTTTCTTAAGGATTGTACATTAAAACATGCTTACCCTACAAGACTTAATCTCTCAAGCGAAGATGAGTGGGACACCGCAAGTTGGAAAAGCTGGGCCTCATTCTGGAGAAGAAGCATGCCACATTAGAAAACCAGAACTGAAACATTGAGAAAGGAAGTAAAACTCGTGTATTTTGAGGTTTTATACGAATCAAGTACAGATTGGTGATACATGCCTTTTGTCCCCACGGCTTGTCACTTGGGTTGTAAGGTGAAGGTAGAAGTTCATAAACCTGTAGGCATGAAAACATATCCGAGTTAAGCAGCGTTCGCACAACAAGCTCATGCAAACGACATACAAGCGCAACGTAAGACAGACAAATAATACAAATCGCTTCGTGACCAAAACACTTGCATCACAACCTGTTCGTGTTCGGGTTCCACTACAGGTACATGGCTTTCAGTAAGTTACATCTTCAACGAAATTCACAACTATCAGAACACAACCCCCCATGTGATAACTACTTCACTGAGTCTCCCAGATGAGTGAGTCTTCCTTCCTCTTCGTGACTACAGCAAAAGTTACAAATCAAGAGGATGTAAAGCCTCCTGTTTTCGATGGAAAAACTTCCTCAAAATGCAAGCAGAATCGAACATTTCAGTTGAAAATATCATGGCACTGAGCTTACTTACCATATGTTGTCTGCACAAACGATGCCATCTTTTACAAACGAACGCTGCACTGCAAAGCAGCTCGCGGGTTGGGAGACTTCGCAGCACATGAATCAGTGCATCATCCGGAAGCAGATATGTCAGAGACTGTTCCTCTCCGGATTCAGATTCATATTCCTCTTTCATAAGGGACGAGGTTGAAGCCTTCTGTGGAGGGATTGCCCTCCTGTGACTTCTTTTGAGAACCTTTTTTTCTTTCTCTCTGCTAGACATTCTCATTCTCTCTCTCTCTCTCTCTCTCTCTGTTGTGCAACTAATCTGTTGCGCTGTTGAGACTGTTGATAAAATTGAAACAAGGGACGTAAGTACCCTGTGATCCCAGCTAAAGGAGCATTCGTGCAATTACTGAAGATCCAACCATAAGTTACGAGATTCCTATATCAAAACCAAGCAATCAATCACGTGTAGGCAGATTGACGATGCACGGCTGAAATCCGGATTGAGGAGAATCTGTGTTTACTACAAAATTGTTTCACGAGACTAAGCAACATATGCTGTATTGTACTCTCCTTCCTTCCCTGATTACCTCCTTTCCTCGCTCGAGCTCTCAGTCCGTCGATCGTGAACTCGGACGCCCGGACTCCTTAAGCGCTCACAAATGGTTTGCAGTACTTAAAGAAAATGAAGCACCGAGAAATTGCTCCGCTTCACATTCCTCACCGCTTGAAACTCCAAAATTACACTGACACCGCAGGCAGAGGATATAAAAAGCTGGTTCATCCTGAAATCGCCACGCTTCCGAAATTGATTCCTTCTGATTCTAAAGGAACTCAGGATCCGCTTGGCAGTCTCCAATTCCACATTCTGAAAACGCGAAGAGTGTACATGTCCATGTCTCCCTTTCAATTGATATCTGGCTTTTACTCGTTAAACGTGGCTCGATTTGTTTGAAGGTATGCAACGGATTGCCATGCTAACAATTGATTGATTCTGGTCAATATAGCAATATTGATTTCAAATTGATTGATGTGATTAGAATAATTTTTAAATGTTAATCATATGTCTTAACGTCTGAAAACATAATTACTCCAACAATATTAAGATATGATCGATTACTAATTGTTAGTCATCCATAAAATAGTCGCCTAAATTAAATAGTTGTGAGGTGATTGTTTTGTGTGTAATTTATTTCTGCTAAACATAAGGAGAGTTTTCTGCTAGCATATGCGAGCGATTGTTTATCGGGAGGTTTGATATAAACTATTGACAATTAATGCTATGGCGCGTTTAAAGTTTATGAATAAAATTGCAATTCGAGTAGTTTTGTTCGGCGTTAGGAACTACTTCAAAAGCTCGGATTGTTGTCTTAGATTCTCATTTGGATATTCCCCGTGACTCGTTGTAGACTTATGTAGAAAATTTGAGCAATAGATTTTTTTTTCACTATTTCAGAAGCTTAATATCCTCGACTAATTCAAGAAAAGCCTTCTGAGAGGATCACGGGGAGCTACAGCTGCTGTCTCCTAGACCTTTATAAATTTACATTTCTCTCTAATATCTTTTGCCTCATCCCCATCATTAGAGAAAAAATCTTACTAAAGTCATTTTGCACCACTAGGATCATCAGTTTGATCATCATCAGTTACTTTGAGTATTTCCATGGCCACCTTGAGTACTGTACATGCACAAAGTATCTCAGATACCTTGTGTGTGATTTGATTATCATAAATAAAGCATTCATATGGCCCATGCCTAAATCAAGTTAACTTAGGTTACCGACTTATTTTAAAAATGCCTGTCAATGATTGATTAACTTTTTAAAACTGAATAGACTTATTTATTTTATATCGCGCATCACATTGAAATATTAATCTATGAAAGTGGAAAAAACAATCATCACTTTTTCATAAAATTTAAAATAATAATTTTTGATATCGAAACATACCTTCCATCATTATAAGTATGATTTCAATGCATCAACCTTATAACATATTCAATTCAGTTTTTATCTAAACCTCAGAAGATGATGATTATATTTTTGATAAGAAATTTACAACCCTAAAGATTCTTACGGTTTTTGATAGCAAATAATAAAATATATTTGACTTCAATTTTTTTTTATGTATATTGCATACTTTTATTGTATTATATCAAATTTTGTGATCTATATTTTTTTTTATTTATACTCATAACATAGATTAAAGTGCAAGTTGAAACATAAAAAGTCAATTTCTATCTATTAATTTTCTAAAGATGAAAAGTGATTTATTTTCAAGTTACATGTGCCTAAGTTTATTAACTTCATTTTATCATATTTGTATGGATTAATGTTTAGAAGTAGATATTTTTTTAAGATGATTTTTATTAAAAGAAATGCCAAAATCGGAATTCACACACAAAGTAAACGTTGGAAGTCACATGCTGACATTAGACATTTATGGTTCATCACTAAGTGCTATGTTCAAAAAAATATCTCAAATTTTGCTAAAAATTCTAAAAAGGGTCACCCAAAACTTCATTGGGCGTTCTTAGATGATAAAAATCTTAACTAATCTAACTGATTGGCATTTAACTAATCTAAGTTAAAATAATAACTTAACTGTTTCTTAACAAAATTAGTTATCTTAAAAAATAAATTTCATAGAACATTTACTAAGTAATGAATATTTGGTTATTAAAATTATATGTATAAAATATAGATGAATATAAAAAATACATGTCAAGCCACGAACATGATATCGATAAATTTGAATTAAAGAAAAATTAATTATAAATATTGAGTAAAAAATCATATAGTAGCCAATATAGAGTGATATATTTCTTGAAGCTAGTTACTTCAAAATCCAATCCATGTTGTTGCTGAATATTGATTTATCCATTTTAGGCAAGAAGAATAAAATATAATAAATATGATTTACATATATCAGTCTCCAATACGTCTTTGATGGTTTAGAGCATACAAAAAAGCTTTTATCACTTTGATAAAGGGAGTATATACGATGCATCAAAATTAAACCTCTTCTCATTACGCTGGTAAACAACTAATTGTAGGAGCTCATGTAGGTTTAGTCACTGCCCAATACAATATTAGTAACTCATTTTTATTCACAGTATAGGGTAATTTTTTATAAGTTCTCACAATTTGAGATGTACAAAATCTCAGATCGGGGCGCGAGTTAGCCAAACCTAAGGCACCATGCTCCTGACATCTAGTCGGCTCACTGATTGCTTACTGCATCATTTAATCATATTAAAATATCAAATTGAAGATTATATTGCATTTGATTTCAAATATAGATAAATCTTCATTAGAGAAAAAGTTAATTGGAAAACATCAAAAATCTATCAAGAACAGATTGTATTGAGATTAGTTATTAACTACACTATTTCTCTCTATGGTTTGTAAAATTCATGTCAAATTAGTGCATGAGTGCATTAATTCTTTGTTTCACAGTTTGATTGAAAATAAATGTATTAATCATTACCCAATAAATCTTAAAATATATTGCAAAACTAAAAATCCCTTCATCTTGTAAAGTTGTTGTCTAACATGCAAAGTTAAGTTGCAATTATGTAAATTAGATGGAAAATATGTTCAATAAATAACTTTTGCATGGAGTTCATATGATATTTGTGAAGTGTGACACTAAAATCGCAATAGATCATCCTTGATAGAGATCAAGGAGATTGGATAATGAAGCAAATTGAAGATATGCAAAAGATCGGAGGTTTCAATTATGACCAAATTGGAGTAAATCGGTTTTCGCAAGAATGAGCATTTGAACCCTCAAATGTTGCAAGGTAATATTCAGTTATTACGAGGTTAGAGATGAAGTGGGCTTTAGGTATGATGGTTGAAAGTTTTATGAAGATGGAGTACTACTTATTTGGATCCATAGAATGTTGCATACATATTTACAAGCATAAGTCTAAAACTTCCAAGTGATGTGTTAGTGAAAACAAATTGAGCATAAAATTTATGTCTATAAATGCATATTAATCTGCCAAATTCCTTTCATAACTTCCGGTTCCTAGGACTTATAAATTGAGTTCAAATTATTCCAAAAAAGAAAAATAAATTCTTGACATATCAATCAATTTCATGGTATCATATCCATTACAATATTTGTTTGAATTTGCTTGTGTCATAGTTGAGTTTTGTTGTTGTTCATAATTACTTTACGAGGGATATCACAACTATCCACTTAAGATAAGCCGATAGAAGGAGAGTAGATATCTCTTGTTCCGTAGTAGATAGGTAGACATCTTGGCCCTCCAATTTAAGAGTTACACTATGATTTCAATTCTGTTTTGTATTTATGCATTTTGCTTCCTGCTAATTAATCAAGTTATGTTTTTAAGTCCAACAATATGTTATTAAAGCGGCTTTTTTACTAGATACTCTTCTCTCTAAGTCCATGCGTCTCTTTTAAGTTCTAGATATCTCGAGCACTTGTCTCGTTTCAATCCCCACCTACTTTCCGCTACAATGCCTACAACTTGTAGTTCTCTATTTGATAATAAAAAACTTACATGCCATGCAAATTATCATTATTGGTCTATCCGTCTTCGTATCAACTTATGTCACAAGGGTTCTTATAGTGGCATCGTTCAACTACTTTGAAGGTTCTTGCCACAGATGACGACATAATCGTATATTACAAACGCCAAATCAATCAAATCAAATCATTGCGCTAATACAATCTATAGTTCATGACGACTTACTATCTACCATCAGCGAGTTTGACAAAGATCTCTTTGCCATGTGACAACATCTACAGTTCAGTTTTGAGTTTCAAAATACTAACGGTCGTCTTGTTCCCATCTAAACTCTTTCTGTTGTTAAAATGTAGGGCAATGATGCAAACGAGAACTTTCAACAAATTGATTTCCTCATCACCCAGCTTAATTCCATTGGCTGTTTCATTTTTGATGAGGAACTCATTCACATCACACTCAAAGAACTTCCTTCGACATGGTTTCATTTCGTCTTTAACTTCAATGGAGAGGTCACTTGTGATCCTCCACCCACCTATCATAACTTAGTTGGATGCCTTCATTTGAAACAGTTTCACAAGGATGGCTAGCAACACGATGCGGACAAAGCATTCAATCTTGTGTTCCGTTTTTCTCACCGCAACCATCAGACTTTTTGTCCTCAATAGACTTTTCAGTAGTATCGTTCTATGTCATTTTCTCGCAAATAAATGATGTGTCAAAGCAAGTAACCTCTCAACACTACATCAACCCGCAAGTTTATACGCATTCAACGAGAACTGTTCAATATGATTATTGTACTAGAAAGAATCATCTCTTCTTCACCTGCAACTTAAAAAGACTTGACGAGCAAATAACGCAAATATAAGTTTGTGTTGCTACATTACGAGGTGCCAAATGTCAAGTCAACTTGGTTGAGAGCGGTTGCCTGCTTGGAGTCAACTTGTCGAATTGCTCTCTTGCAAACAAGTAGAGCTTGAAGCTAATTTTGCATGATTTGAGGCTCATAAAGATTATTTTGTAGACTCATGTGACTCTAATCATGTGACAGATGACAAGTCCACGCTCTTATCTTTTCAGCCGACAACCTCCACTTATGGAGTTTCCACTGCAAAAAAAGCAAGGTTTCAAGTTGTAGAAAAATTAATACTTCACGTTGAGGCAAATAAAAGCATCAATCTGATTCTGTACGTGCCAGGACTCACTAAGAACTTATTGTTTGTAGGTAAGTTAACACACTGATCATCTAGTAGTTTTTACTCCCAAGTCATGCTTTGTTTAGAAAAGTATCCAATGCAATTGGTCCTCTTTGATGAACAAGACCTTAAGTCTAAATTGTATAGAATTAGCAATAGCTTACAACGAGCTAAATTCTATGCACACTCTGCTTCACTCACAGTTTCATTTGACCATTTTCACTTCATAGAACTTGCGAAATACATATTCGCTCCAACC